TCTCTCCTGTATCCCTTTTGTTCTTCTCCATTTCTCCTTTTGCTTTTCCCATCCATAGATCTCTGATACTTTTACTGAATGCAGTAAATGATGAGCTGACCTTCTACTGCCTTCTAATTGTACCTACTAAAATTTTGTCTATTTTTTTAAAGAAAAATAAAAATTAAACCAATTTTCTGTAAAATTGCATGCATTTGAACAGAGAAAATACTAAGATAGCCTTTCATTTGTTCATAAAACAGCACTTTGAGAGCCTGTGCTGTTGCTGTTATTTACAAAGCTGTGTAATGAGATGGGAGGTTCACAAGTTGTTTTTTTTTTTGTTGTTTCCTGTCACATTTCAGCTTTCTTTTAGTAATTACTGTAGCAAATCTGTCTGCTGAGGATCTCATAGTTGTGTCATTCCAACCCCTGGGATATTCATGCCATGCTGAAGTTGGAATTCTGATTTTTTTATCTCAAAACACGTGGTTTCAAGTGCCCAGAGGCAGTGGTATACAGGGCTTGTGTTATGTTTCTACCCAGGAGAAACTGTCCTGCAACCCAGGGACTTGGTTCTGGATTGTCTCCTCTTTCAAGCTGAACATCTGTAGCTCTCTATTCAAGTATAAAAGAGAACTGACTGATGTTTTCCTTGTTTCTAAGTTTTCAGGAGAGGGACTGGCAGCTGGAATCTTTGTAAAGAAAGGACTCATAACCAAATTGACCCATGGGACATAGCACTTCATTAGAGTTCAATATTATTATAGTGACAGGTACCTTAGGAGTGAGATCTAAAGATTAGATTATGCAGCAAATGGAAGCCCCAGTTTTCCAAGTGTGACATCACTGACAGGAAAAGCTCAGGAAGAGGGTGCAACCTCTCTGCTTATCTTGGTTTAGCATTTTATTAGATGGTAGGATCAGTCTGGTCCCTATTGTTTCCACAAACAATATGAGGCTCTTGTCTGCAGTCTGCTTTAGGAAGGGTTGGCCCCTCTCAAGGCCTACCAACAAGGGCTCTGTAGTTGCTCTTCTTCCCTTGTTATTTGCCAACTGAGTGATACTACAATCGCTGTTGTCTTTGCCTCTGTAGGCTGTAGGGATTGGTAACAGTTGCTATTTTCCCAACACCTTTTTGGTGCTTTTCCTGATCTCTCTTCAGCTGATACTCCTAGATCCCTTTCTCCTGTTCCTGGTGGTTTGAAAGGTTTGGTCCTGGGAGCTCGTCTTGCCTCTCCATCACTCCCCTTTCCTGGTGCTGCCCCGTTGCAGCCTTGGTCCCTGGGGGCTTGTGTGTCCTGCCTCACCAGCGTTTGCCTTGCCTGGTGCAGCATTCAAGCGACACCTTAATAAAAAGCTTTCCTCCCTTATCTCCTCTCTGCTGCTGTGCCACTGGGCTGGGGATCGGGTTCCCATCTCTTTCACACGCACACCTGGTCATAAAACACTGGGTTTGTTTTTAACCTCAAACCAGGGAGCTTTAATTAAAGAGACAGTGACCTCTTTTATGAGTTTGCTCGCATAGGGTTTCAGGGCTATTGTCACATACAGCTCACATAACAGAGCACCATTGCACAAAGCTCCATTTACACATCCTTCCCCGGCTTTTTTCCTCTCCTCTTTTTGTTTTCCAAACGCAGAAGGAGGTTGTTTTCTTGTTTACCCCTAGGCAAAGTTGTTTCTCATGTTAGTAGCCTATGGCTAACAGTCTCTTTGAAGAGAACCTACCTTTCTTACTAGCAACACATAGATGTCATTAGACTTGGAGAAATGTTATTTTTTAATCTACGTAGGAAGTAATCTCCCTCACCTTAAATTTGCTGGATATGAATGACTAGCTAAAATGGATCTTATCCTCTGTTCTGTTCTTCTTAGCTGGTTCTCATACCTGTATAGTGGAATTTGTGTGTTTTTTAGGACAAATACTTTTTTATTATTCACTGTTGTATTTACCTGTATTCATTAATTTTCAGGTGCAATAAGTAGTCAATAGCAACAAATAGAATTTTTTATTTTCAAGAATGATAAGCGCAGGGACAGGCACTAGAACTTGTCCACAATTTTACACAGAATAGTTTACATGTAATTGAAAGAAAAATTTTCACAAATACAGCCGTGTGTTCCCATGCACTTGTATTCAAGGATACACAAACAGGAAGACACACAGAAGTGTGTACACAGACCAGAACTTATTTGAGGTATGCAGACTTCTGAAAAAGGCACTCATGCACAGAAAACAGACAGCTGGGACACAGATACAAGCAACCACATAATTGGCAGAATACAGAAGCACACACAGAGGACGTGGACACACAGAAGAAAAAAATAATATATGGGGAAGAGTGTTGTTGCCCTCAGCATACACCTTGTATGTAGACCTTCAGAAACAAGTACAAGGACAAGCCTGCAGGAAAACATGTATGTAGAAACTTATGCCCAGAAACTCTGTAAGTAATGTATAAGTTACTGTGGACAGGTCCTGAGACTCTAACTGTTCAGGTGCTGGAACTCTCACGGAATTGTGTAAGGTTTTTGCTTTCAGTGGTGTTACTTTCAGGAAAAGCTCACTAATATGAAAAAATATTACATGGTTTAGCTGCAAAGATTGTAGATATGAGAACACATGCCCTGACATGTACAGATAGGTAGATACATATTGATGCAGATATTTTTTTTTTTACTTAATATATTAATACAGATTTGCCTAGATACAAATGTACCACACACAGACCCTTAGACACACACAGATATACCCATGTCTATGTTCATTGAGAGAGACTCACTCAATATCTGTGTATGTGTGTGTTGGGAGAGGGTCATAACCTCCTCCATTCTTCTCCTGAAGGGGTTTGGATAATGAAGGGAAAAGAAATGAGGCCTGGGGCTAATTTGTAGTGGCATTTCCTGGCCTCTCTTATGCCAATGAAGCTCCGTTTCATCTTTAGCCTTATCAATTCTGCAGTCATGTGGCTTTCCGCTTGGACGCCTCTGTCTCTTCACCCTCCTCCCCAATCTCCGATGCTAATGGAAACTTCGTTAATGCCATTAATCTGCTGACCAGGACAAGTCAAAAACATATCCACACAATCTGAGCCAGGGCTGCAAGCGTCCTGGGGCTGCCAAACAGAGGCACCCCCTGTGTTCATTGCATTCCTGAAGGAACTTCATATTGATTTATTTCTTTCTTTCCTTCTCTGCTTTATTCCTTGACAACATTGCATCCTTCAGAACAGGCATCAAGTAGATGGCCTTTTCTTCCTCATCCCTCACCATGATATTTCTGCAAGAATCCTTTCCCCAGTTGTAGCGCTAGTGCCTTATTTCAGTGCCCCCTCAGGACAGCCTTTTTGTTCTAATGCTGTCTTTGGTGACCAACTTGTTATTCCTCTTGCATAACACAATTTCATAACTACCCAAATGTTATGTGAATCTGCCTGGGCTGGTCTAAAATAAAAAGCATTCCACTCTACCTTGGTATTAGCAAGTCTGTCATTAGCCAACCACTGTTATTGTTATTATTGTTCTAGTGGCAGTTGCCATTAGTTCTGTTCTTGAAGGGCTGTGCTGTTGGGGTGCCCTGTCCTCTGAAATGTTCTCAGCTCCCCAAAATCACTTTTGAGGAGTGAGGACATAGCATTGCTTTGCATTTTACAAGTAGACCAGTTTTTGCAATGCTTCACCAGTGTCTTCTATCACAATCGAGTGTCATTTTTGGTGACGTACCATTCTCTTAGCTATGACTTCAACTTTCCCTGCCCGTGTAGCACACCTGCAGAAACCTGAAGCTCTGAGCAATGACTCACTGTCTCCTTATTTCATAGCATTGTCCAGCGGCTGAGCATGTGGAAGTTCCACGTGTTGGGATTATGCTGGCTGAGGTTTCACTGAGAAGAGAAAATAGACTCTGTTTGATACTTGTTTTAGGAAAAATTTCTGTGATAATCAGAGTTCATAGCTAGCTCTTGAGAATGTCAGGATGTTGAGTGATCTGTATTTGATCTAGGAATCTTTATATACGTAAATGAAATAGTGACAGTGGAGGAGGAAAAGACAGCTAAGAAAGGCATGCTGTTGGAGTTGTGACATATGGATATGTTTAGAAAAAAAGCATCAAATTGATGAAAACAAGGAGAGAAGTTGGCAGTTCAGCATGAACTTTGATGATGTCAGGCTAAATCTGGAATGATATTGGCTATGACAGAAGGCTGAGCCTTAGTTGCCACCTTCACACAGACATCACAGTAAAAAGGGATTGTTTTACAAGGAGAGAAGACAAAGAAGTTTTAAGTTCTTCAGTGCTGGCAGGGGTTGAAGTCAAAAGTTCATCCTCATGTAGTTTTGGGTACAGAGAATGCAAGTCATTTTCCACCAACCAGGAGATGCTCCACTGAGCAGAGCATCTTCCTTCTCCAGCCAGTTCTGGGATGAGATATCCTTTTAAATCTTTAGGGTTTATGAACCCATTGCACTGTCTGATGTAGAAGGATTCATGCTGATTGGTACCATGCTTATTTTTTGAGAATCACTGAATGAGAGGGGAGGGGGAAAAAGGTAGAGATTGTGTTATATCTTGGTATAAAGGAAAAAAGGAAGCTACAATACTCAGTGCCCTAAAATTCCTATTTAGATGAGTGGGACAGTATCTGTAAACCTAAGACCAGCATCTAATGGGACACTTTCAAAGCTTCAATGAAAGCAGAGAACTAAAAAATCAAATACTTGTAGCCTTAACAAGTGACAGGACAGTTAACAGCTCGTACAAGACCACTCATTTTGGTTCAGCTGTTAAATTTGCTTCCTCTTCTTCATATCCTGTTACTTGGGATTTGAAATTGAAAAGTTGGGGGAGACAAATGAAGTGCTTATAGTGAAGTCTAGTGTCCTGGGAGATGCTGGTAGGAGATTTTTAGCATGTTTTCCCTGAACGTGCCTTAAGGAAGCTACTGGTACTTGGGTGAATTTATCTGGCATAACACACAATACCACATAACAATAATACACAGCCTTTGATGTTGCAGTGTGCTAATAGTGGAGTCTGTTCCATGTGCGTGGAAGGGATGATTGTGACACATGGTCCTGTACAAAAAAAAAGGAAAAAGATCTTCAAGTGAGCAAGTAGTTTGTGCACACCTTAATACAGAAGCAGAAACACCAGGAAACCCAGCCCTATCCAAGGATAACATTGTCCTGCCCGGCAATCTTAGCAAGTTGTTTAACCTCTTCATTTGTCTAGACTTTTCCTGTTTATTCCACTCTTATCACAAACTTCTTGAGAAAGAAGTGTTTCTTCCTATGTATGCATCCAGCTAGAGAGTTGGTCCTCATCTTGGCTAAAGTCTCTCTACAGTAATATAACACCCTATGCCTTCCTTCCATATAGCAAGAATTGTGCATTAGACTGAGAAGTAAAAGGTGCTTTGGGCTTCTGACTGATGCCAAGAAATAAATCAATTCAGCAAAGCCTGCATTAGCTACCTTGGGTACTGGGAGCATCCCAGCTGTGGCAGCATAGAGCCTATCGAGGTTAAATTTGGATCATGTCATGATGCAGCCTTCATGCTGGGAAAGAAGTTTAAAATGTCAGTGCTGTATGTCTTTGGAAAATTTCTGTTTGAATGCCACTGCTATACAAAAACTGCTGCTGCCTACTGCTGCTGCTGTGGTTGGTATCCTCTGATCCATCTTTTGCTCGGTCTTTTCTAACTGCTAGCCTCATAGGAGCTGTCATACTGCTATGCACATTCTGCCCAGCATCCATTTTGTCATGGAAAATGTTCCAAAAGTGGTGGTGAAAGCAGTTTTTCAATGAAACAGTATTTCGATGCAATTGCGACACTCTAAGTATGTAGAGTAGACAAAGTTTGTAGGTTGATAATGTCACTCTATCCTCTGGTCTGAAAACCAGGCCTTTTTTCTACCTTGTTCTGTTTTCTTTATTGCAAGATTTTATTTTATTTTTTGTTGTGAAGTCTGTGGGGTGGTAGGCAGGCAATGTAGCTTTTATTTCTGGTTCTGTTACAAATGTGCGTTTTGATCGTGGGATAACATACTGTGTCTTTGCATTATCCAGTTGTAAAGTGAGGAAGATGACAGGTCCTTCTTTCATTCTTTTCTGTCTGGTCTAACGTAGACTTGCCTGGTGCAGCGTCCCTTTCTGGTCAGTGAGCCACAACCTCGGTTGATGAGCTGCTCTTGTCTCTGTTGAGCTTTTCTGTGCAGGCTTCTGGTTTTAGATCCATAGGCTGGAACTCAACCCGTATTCAAGCATCTCTTAAGCTTATCTTTTAACCGTAGATGGGTAGCACTTGGTGTGTTGTGATGTTGGTATGCTTCTGTATCAGTGAGGGATAAACAAAACACAGTATTGTAGCACTCTCTCCTTTCCATTTACCTTTATAGTAGGGCTATCTTTACTTTCTTCTTATTGTAAATTTTGCTTCATTCTACTAGTGAGTGTTCTGTGAGTAATCCTTAAGCTTTCCTGGGGGGGAAAACCAATATTTTGATGAGTACAGCCATTTCTGGTGGTAACTGCAGCAAAGAGCTTGAAAGGTTTGTTGTTTTAAATTCAAGAATGATGTAACAAAATCCAGGGAGTGGCCTTGCCTGGAAACATTTGGACTGCCAGTTCGTGGCAAGTGAAAATTGACGTGACTCATCACAAAATGTAGTGCATTCTTTGATGTAGAGGGCAGAGACTTAGAAATTCTCACAAATGCAAATGAATCTAAGTTTTAAAATCCTTGCAATCAGCAAGGGAAGAAACTGCTTTGCTTTAATGAAAGCACAATAAAAAGTAATACTTGCAGAGTTTATTTAATTCAAAAATGCCAGGCTCATTAGACAACTGGTAATAGAACATGATTCTGACTCTTATTGGTTCATAAGAATCATGCTTACTACTTTCAAAATACAGTCACTTATAGGATGAGATATTGGAGATGTTTAACTTTTAGAAATACCCACAAACCATGGGGGTCAAATTAGGACAGGAAAAATAGAAGAGGAGGGACGCAACAGACAGAAAAAGTTGTCATCCTTACAACCACTGCCAGAAAGATCAGTCTTGTAAAGTCTTGCAGCAAAAATGTTGCAAGAACCTCTGGTTTACAGCTTTAGTGGAAAGTCTTTAAGTCGTGCAGGTGGTGGCTCTGACAGCCGGCTGGGAACACCAGCGCACTGCGTTAGCAGCACTGCGGTACTCGGCACAGCTCCTGGGAGGACTGCGGAGCAGGGAGCCAGCCAGGCTCGCTTATGAGAACTGACAGGATCACAGCACAAATGACTCCAAACCCCTCTGCTTGGCTTGTCAGTGTTTAAACAGGGGCAAAATCCTACCCTCTGTTTCCTCAGAAAGGCAATAGTTGAGTGCTGCGGACTTGAAAGGGAACAGGTTTATGCTCTGATTTTGCAGAGAGTAGAAGAGAGTGATGGTCCTTGTTTCTAAAAACTTGCAAAAGCTGTTCAATTTCATGTAAGAAAGCTGACCAAATCAGGTACTAAGTACTTAAACTGCAGTAGAAATCCTTACCCTGAAAAGCCTGTAGTCAAAACTGTTGCTGTTGAATCTGATTCATGAAGCCATGGCAGGCAATTTGCACCTACTCCTTGGAATACCCTTCAGCTGCAACATCCACCAACACCTCAGTTCTTGCATCTGTGCTGGAATGTAAGAATAAAGTTTGAGAGCTATCAGTCTATTAGTCCAGATTCTTGGGAACTCCTGATTTAAACAGGCAGAGGACATGCTGTTAAGTGTGATTTACAGTGTATAAATGTACTGGTTAAACCATAATTCATGGCTGATTTTTCTGCCTCACACATGAACTCATCTATTCATGGGAATTTGAACTCATCTTCAGAGACACATCTCTTTTGTGTATGGGTCCAAAGAGAAGCTAGAAGCTATGGAAAAAAATGTTTCTTTGCAATACTGAAAGAAGAACTGTAAGAGAAGCTGGAGGTTGGCACTGTAGCAACTGCTCCTCTAGGGTACTGTTCTGGGCTTTGGTGCTAGCAAGGAACAAAGACTCTTATCTTTGGATTTTTTGTTTGTTTGAGGTTTGGGGTTTTTTTTGTTTTGTTGTTGTTGTTGTTCCTTATACCACAACTGAGGGGATAACACCTTCTCTATTCTGCTAAATTCCATCTAGCATAAGATGCTAAAAGCCATTGTTGTTTGTAGTTTGGTTGCCTATAAGAAATAAATGTGCTGGTCTCAACCAATTTCCCTATGGGTGACAATAATGGCAATTTAGCTGTTTATTTCAGGTTCTTCAAAAGTGGAGTCATGAAGGAGGGTTTGTCCTATTGCTGCACTTATTTTATGATCTCTCTAAAAGAAAGAAGAGGATTAGCTCTTGGGATAAAGTCCTAAGACTGACCTCAATGTCCAGAGCTCCAGCCTGACCTTAAATCCACACAGAGAACAGTTACTACCAGACACTTTGTGAAGTGAGTCTGGGCTCCACTTTTCATCTGACACAGCAGCAGTTTAGGAATCAGCACTCTGTTTGCCCTACTTACCCCGGTACTAGCTTCTAACACAGGAAAGCTGCTGGCACAGGCACCAGACTGTCACTTTTGTGACTGAGGGAGGAAAGAGAGGAGTCCTCACCCCATCTTCCTTTTCAGACAGTCTCCAGGAGTTTTGGAAGGAGCTTTTTACAAGCCTTCTTCTATTGTTGGCCAGGAGACAAAGGACGGAGGAGCTGGATTTAAGCATAATGACGTGAGCTCCTCCATGCAGAAAAACCCAGCTGAGAGACCCCCCCTGCTCCACACACACACAAAAAAAGGAAGAAAGGGGGAGAAAATCTTTGAAAATAACTAATTAAAGTTGTTTTAGCCTCTCTCTCTCCCCTCCAAGGGCGCCTAATCTCACAGGGGGCAGAGGGGGAGAGAGGCAAGAGGAACAATGAGAACCATCCCCCCCTTCTCTACACTCCACCTCCTGGTCTCTGAGGTTTTAAAACAAGAGGCCACTTTAAGTTAATGAGCTATCAGCTGACTGGGAGAAGTCTCTAATGAAGCCTGGTGTTCACACATTCCCCAGCTTGCTGAATAGGCCTCTGCCAACCCCATAACTGTCAGAAAGTTTCATTCATAAAATCCACATGCTGAGGGTGGTGGTGATGGGGGCGGGGAGGGAGCTGGGTGGAGATGGAAGAGAGGAAGTGTGGGGTGGTGGTCTCCATATGGAGCAGTCAGCCCCAGAGGCCAAACAGGAACATGCATGGCTGGGGCTGGCAGGCTGGAGGATCCCGGGGACCCGACTCCACTCTCCATTGTCTGGCTAATAATTAGGAAGATCCTTCACATGGTTCTTGGAGGACATTGAAGTCTGTTGGGATAATTAGTGAAGATTTAGGGGATGTTCCAGCTTTTATGTCACCAGCTTTGCTAAGGCCACAGGGGCAGGTGCCGGTGGCATGAAGCCTAGGAGTCATTCAGGAGCTTTGCTGTGTGGGCCATGCTTTACTGAGCCTCTTGTCTCCTGGCAGTACTTTAGGACCTGTGTTTGTGGGGATATTTGTGAGAAGGAGAGCGAAAAGGCAGGGAAAATTCTGGAGGAAAAGGTATAATACTGAGACAGGAAGGAAGTCATGTTTACTTAAACTTGGTGGTGATGTGTTCTGGAGCTCGTTCTCCTTGGATACTGCATGTGCTTTTGGCAAGAGCAAAGAGGAAAGATGCAGATACTGGATCAAAAACTGTTTTCCTCCAAGGGCTGGACTATGGTTTGAGTAGTGAATCAGCATTGTAATCAACAGTAAAGGCCACTGTACTCTTATGTCCTGCAAGTTTTGACATTAGACACTTCTGGGTCTTTCCTGAAGTTTCTGAGCAGCAATGTCAAGCCCAGATTTCTTTTGAGCATTATGGATCTAATGCTCTGAGCACAGGAATTAGATCTTTGAGCACTAGACTTCTATCTCTCTCTTTGAAATTTTGGTCCCTTCCCAATCCCCAGGTCAGTATGCTGTAGCAGGACCAGGGTGTAATTGTTAGAGTGTCACTTAAATCTTAGTTGTGACAAAAGGCACAGTTAAATGAGAAACAGTCTCTGCCTTTGGGAGCTTACAGTGTAAATACACAGTGCAGATTGAGTGGAAAAAACCACTTAGGAATCTCATTCAAAGACCACTGAAACAATAGTAGGATCTCTGTTAACTCTGAGGAGCTTTGAAACTTGATCATCTGCCTGCTATTACACAGGGTGTCTGAATCAGGGCTCTGAAGTCAATCCTATCCAGGACATAACTGCAAGGTCAACTTTGTTCATATGTTTTGTGTACATACTATGAAGAGAAAAGGATTGGATTTTTCAAGCTACATTAAGAAACTAGGGATGAATATTCTTGAGACACAGGACAGCATGTGCTGGGGGCATTGGATTCTGTGAAAACATGAATATGTTGGGAAAGCAGCTGCCTTCAGAGATTTCTATGGACTAAAATGAGTCATGAGTCAATGTCATAATGTTTCATTCAGCAAATGAAACTGGTTTCCCATCTATTTTGTCTTATCATTGAAATTTCACTAGGGTAGTGTGGGGAACTGTGTGGTTCTGTGTATATGGCAGAGGCAGTGCTAGAGAGAATATAACTAGAATTTGACTGTACACTGCAAAGGCTGTGGTATGGTTGAATAATCAGGAAATATTTTTCCTCCAACTGCTTTTATAGAGATTTTGATTTTTCCCTTCTTACACTTGGTAGCTCAATTACTCAATTTCATTGCATTATAACAGTACCTGAGCACTTCACCATCTTTCTTTGCTGCTTATTCCTATTTCAGAGATGGGAAAACAAAACACAAAGTTTAGGGGTGGAATCTACAAAAGAGCTTAGAGCTGGCACTTCTAGGTTTCCAGGCAGCTTGTTGCAGTGAAATCCAGACATCTGAGTTAAATATGGGCACATGTAGATGTAGGTACATGGCAATGGGGAGCTGCGTAAGCTAGTGGGCGAGAAGTGCTGAAGAGCAGGGTGGGATGTCTAGTCTGGCAGGTAGGCACTTGCCTCTTGCCTGGAGAGAGAGATACCTGTCTTTATGTATGTATGGTTCATATATATATGTGCATATATATATATGCCCTTGTTTAGTTCTGTGCTCTCTGTATGAATACAGGACTCAAAACTGGATGCAGGCCATAAATGCTTGGCTGTTGGATGTTTCCATGGTGTGGCTTCTTAAATTGCTTTTGGTGACAGTCTTCCGCTTCTTATAAATAATCAAATATTCTGGATGACAAAGCAGTAGACTTGTACTGTAGACCAAAGGCTATGGAAGTTGCTGGACTGAAGGAAGGGCAAACTCACAAAAGATGAGAAATCTCTACTGAATAGCTATTTACATGCTAAATAGCAGATTATGGGCTCTATGTTTGATCATCTTGCCTCTTCTACTTGCTAAGCAAGGAGCATCTTGGGAATGAAGGCATGTTCAGCTCTACCTGTATCTCACTGAACACAGTTCACATGCTTTTTGAGTTGGACCTGAAGCTGTTTATTTTTGTTGTTGTGGTGCTAGTTATTGGACTAGATGCTGACTAGTTCTCCAGCTTGACTTTTCTTTTGCTGTGGCTTTTCTTGCTCTGGAATGCAGAACTAACCAGATCTACCTTAGATGAAGTATGAATAGTCTCTATTTGTATTGACTTTGACTACTTTATTTGTTTTCTAGCACTCTCACTATTTCCTGTCATCAGTCTTTCTTTGGTGACTGGTGTACAAATTGCTGACAGAGAAGAGGCAAATTCAATATTATCAAATCTCTTCTCAGGCCAGCTTTTGCCCCTTTGGCACTGGTTTGCCTGGTAATACCATTGGTCACTCCCAGCAATCCCTTGCCCTTTACTAATAGTCTCCTTCCCCCTCAGCTCTACATTGCTCTTGCTGGTATTAAGTTTTTCTGGCAAATCCCATAAACAATTTTGTGGAGCGCTGATTTTCTGTCACTGCTGCTTATATTTATTTAGCAACTGGAGGATGGATGGGCTCTCTGTGGTTGAAGGGCCCTCCTGCATGCTTTAGACTCACTTGGATGCTCTCAGCCTGATCTGAGGAGCCACCAGCATGCCTCTCAGGAACTTAGGAAAGCATCTGCTGAAGGGTTTGTTCCAATTGGGTCAGAGACTTGCTCACAAATTGGTAAAGGAGGAGGAGAGGAGCAAACAGACAGTGAGCAGGTCCAGGTACAGGATAAGCTCCTCATCTAGTGCTGCATCATGGATTGTGTTTCCTCCCTACATGAGCCAAGAGGGACCACTTGCTTTACCAGCCTCTCATGTGAGCACTCAACCGACACAAGAGGCTCTACTCCTTTCCCCTTGGGGGGACGCTGGAGGCAAGAGCTCTCAAGGGCTAAAGAAAACAAAACAATGTTTGCTTAGCTGGAGAGCAGAGTGTGCCCTGCGTAAATTGTACCAGGGCCTAAAAGTGCTTCAGAAATGAAGTGCCTCTGAAATTGGCTCCATGAGATAAATGTGAGGCAGGATGATGCCATTTCCTCAGCTGATGGGGTGTCCCATTGACTCATTTAAAGTCATATTTGGGTTACTCTGAGCCTCAGCTTCAGGAAAAATGGCACAAAAGACAAAGTTTTCCCAAGGAAGAAAAATTCTGATAGTCCTGCTCCTTGTGGACAGCCAACAAAAA